AATTTGGGAGATTTGGAATTTGAGAGATTTGCAATTTGGGAGATTTGGAATTTGAGAATTTAGAGATTTAAGAATTTGGGGACTTGGAAATTTGGAACTTTGAGAATTTAGAGATTTGGCAATTTGGAGATTTGAGAATTTGGGGATTTGAAGATTTAGAGATTTGAGAATTTGGAGATTTGGGGATTTGAAGATATGAGGTTTAGCAATTTGGAAATTTAAAAATGTGAGACGTGGAGATATGGGATTTAGAAAGTTAGAAATTTGAGGCTTCAGAAATATGAGAATTTGAGGATTCGGAGATTTGGGGATTCGAGGTTTGAGATGTGGAGTTTAGGAATTTAAGAATTTGGGGATTTAGGGGTCTAGAGATTTGGAGATTTGAGATATGGGGTTTAGGAAATGAGGAATTAGGGGATTTAGAGATTTGAGAATTTATGGATTTGAGAACCTAGTGATTTGGAGATATGAGGAGTAGAAATTTAAGAATTGTTGTGTTTTTGAGATTTGAAGATTTGAAAGTTAGAATATGAAGTTTAGGAATTTTGGAATTTAGAGATATGAGGTTTTGAAATGTAACTAGCTATGAGAGGTATAAAAACTGCAACAGTAGGAGAACTATTAATTTAAAATTTGTTAAAGAACAAATTGAAAGACTGATAATTAAACAAATTTGAAAGTTTGGAAGTGGAGAATTTCTAGATTTGAAGTTTAATGACTTCAGACAATGAAAACATAGAAAATTTGAAAACTTAAAAAATTCGAAAACGTAGAGGAACGGGAAATCCATAAATTTGAAAGAACAAAAATAAATTGAAGAAATTAGGAAATTGCAAATTTGAGATTTGAGAAACTGAGAATTTGAGATATTTACCAGGATTTGCAGACATTCTAATTTCCCAGACATTCGAAAATTTGCAGATTTACTTAATTACTTGCAGATATACAAAATTTTCAAATCTGAGTGTTACGAAATTTAGAAATTTGCCAATAGGAATATTACAAATAAAAGTTTCACAATTTAAAAGTCTAATATTTTCACAAATCAAAAAATTTGAAAATTTCAACCTTCAAAATCACAGGACTCTACTTTTCAAAATTCAAGTTTTCAAATCTAAGTATTACAAAATTTACAAATTTCAGAATTTACAAATCTGCCAACTGCAATATTACAAATAAAAAATTTCACAATCTAAACCTCTACTATTCCTACGAATCAAAAAATTGCAAATTTCAACCTTCAAAAGCACACAGTTAGAACATTCCAAAATTCCAAAATCCAAAACTCCAACCCCCACTGAAGTCAGCAAACAAACCACAGCCTAAATTTTATTACAAACAAATTTGCCAATAAATTTCATTGCCTAAAATTCCAAATGTCCACATGAAATCTAAAGAACAAAATTCCCACATCCGTCCAAAACCTCCATTTCCCCCCTGCACAGATTTCCGTACCATGAAAGGACAGCGCGTCAAAGGCGCGCCCTGCTGGTCATATCGCGTATCACTCGCACTCGAATCGCTCTCTCGAAAATCGCGGATATTTTGAAAAAAGTGCTCTGTACCTTGTTGACAGTTCGTTTGCAAGAAGTAACCGAAGAGCAGGAACGCGATGGTCGCGTTGACATGCCAGATATCGCAGCCACCACGTCTGGACATGTTAGCACTGTCTTTCACACCGCGCACTTTATCGCAGGATTTCGAGGCAACTTGGCCGCCCGTCAGTGGAACACTGTCATCGTAACGGACGCGTTATGTCGGGGCCGGTGATTTAATTCGAGCACGACGTGGTCCGTTATCGACGGACTAAACGCATCTTCTTGGTAAAAACGAGAGACGTTCGCGAGAACGGCGCGTTTGTCACTGGCCACAGGTAGAAAGCAAAATCCTACTTTCACTTGGTGGCTGTGAGGCGGAGCTGTTGGCATGCCGAGGCCATCGAGATCTTTCCCTCTCCTTTTCTGTCCCGCCACTTCTACCGTGGCCACTGCTCGCACGTCTTTGTGACGATCAGCCGGAGAGGGACTTGTACTTAGAAAAACCGAAGGGGACGGGTTTTAGCAAAAATTTTAGAACGTCCGGGTACGACCTTTACTGCGCCTCCGCGAAGGACGACGGTGAGGATCAACGATCTCGAGCGACAATTTTAGAATAGGATGACGAACACGGGGAATTTTCGGAAATTTCGGGCTTGAGTTTGCGAATGTGGGAATTTAGCAATTTTTTAGTTGGTCATTTAGGGCTTTGGGACTTTGGAAGGTTCAAGGTAGAGTTTTGGTTCTGTCGAAGGGTGATATTTGGAGATTTTGGATGTTGACAGGAATTTGGGAATTGTGGGAAATTTCGAGATCGAGTTTGCGAATCTGGGAATTAAGAAATTTTTTAGGAATTCGGTCATTTAGGACTTTGGAGCTTTGCAAGGTTCAAGGCGGAGTTTTGGTCCTTTCGAACGGTGATATGTAGCAATTTTGGGTGTTGGAAGGAATTTGGGGATTGTGGGAAATGTAGAGCTCGAGTTTGCAAATCTGGGAGTTGTGGAATTTTGGAGGTAAATATGGTGATTTGGTACTTTACGGCTTTGGAAGATTTAAAAGTGCAAAAGTTGGTAGTTTGGGTGAGTGGTTCTTTAAGATTTTGGATGTGTGAAGGAATTTAGGAATCTTGAGATGTTTCGAGTTCAAGCTTGCAAATCTAGGAGTTGTGATTTGGAGGTTGAGAATTTGGTAATCTTGCAAGTTTGGAGTTTTGGAAGATTTGGAGGATTTGGGACTGTGTTACTTTGGGGTTTTGTGGGTTTGGGATACTTGCAAGGACATTTGGGAGGGATACTTTGGGAACCTTGCAAGATTGAACTTGGGAACTGTAAGAAGATTTGAACTTTGAAAGTTTATAACTTTGGGACTTTGAGAATCTAAAAACGCGGAACATTGGAAATGTGAAGATGTGGTGAAGTCCTTTGGAACTTTGGCAATTTGAGAATGTGGAGATGTGGAACTTTGGGACTTTGGAACTTATGAACGTTCAAATTTACGAATTTTAGAAGTTAGAGAGTTTGATACACCAAACGTCTCATATTTTTGAATTTGGGAATTTGGAACATGGAAAAATAGGAATTTGAAAATTCAGTAATTTTGTATTTGCTGTTCTAGGAATTTGTTATTGGAAAATTTAACAATTTGATAATATTCATTATGAAAATCCTATCATGATTAATTATGTCGAAATCTACCAACTCATACAATTCTAAGTTAAGAACATCCAATCAAATTGATACCATGAAATTAAGGTATCTAGCACCTTCAGACCTAACAGTACTTGGCCATAGTTCACTATAAGACTAGCTCTAATCGGTTGAGTTGTGATATTCGCGCAGAGTTCAAATACAAAGTGGTTAAACTCGATACAGTTTTAAAAATTCTGTATGTATTTTATATGACGCACGTTGACGGCCGCATATCCTGCCTTTCACAAACCAAGCTTTATATTTGATCCACATATAGGGTGTCTTACCTAAAGTGGTACTATGTAATTATCCTAGAATAGTTATACAGTGGAGGACAAAAGTATACACTTGAAACACAGAAATAAAGAGAACAATATTTTCTCATTATTAAGTATATTTAAGCGTATATAGCTGTATATTAAACATTACACTCACAACAACAAATGACCCAAAACCGAAAGCAACATCACGTAGTAACTTGAAATGACTCGAAATTCACGAGACCGTAAGAAATCGCCAGGACAAAAGTATTCGCACACTTAATTATTGCTGCAATTATTTTAGCAGGAATTTTATAAATTAACATTTTGTATGATAACCCTTCCGGCGAATCACTTCACGTAATATATCGGGCATTGACAACACCAAACTTTTAACGAAGTCAGCTTCTATATTACACCATTCTCTTTTTAATATTTCTTTCAAGTGTTCTTTCGACGTTATATCATTTCGCACATTTTTTTCTAGTTTCCATACATGTTCGATAGGATTTAAGTCGAGCAATTGTGGAGGAGTTGCTAACCTGTGGGGAGTATTGGTATTAACCACTGACGCACTATGCAGGCTGTATGTTTCGCGTCACAGTCTTGCTGAAAATAAAATTCATCTGCACTATTTTGTAAATTTTAAAATATCTAAATATAAATGATTATTTATGTATACTACAGGAGTAAATATAGTTGATAATATAGAAAATAATTCTACTTTTAATTCTACATATTTACTTCCACATATTCATCTGTATATTTCAAGTGTACGAATACTTTTGTCCTCCACTATCATCAAACTTCGTATAATTCTAATTCTCTAAATTCGCACATTCTTTCCAATTCCATAGAAGCAAAGATAACCCAAAAATTTTTCAAATGTCTCCGTCGCCGACTCTCACATATTTTTACCAAAAACAATTTTTTGTCCTTTATTTACTACTTGAAAATCATAATACGATGCAGTTATGCGGTCTACCCCATATATTACACGTTTTGCATTTTTATCGAGGCAAGTCTATTTTTCTTTCAGACTCGGAATGCAACCGAAGAATGTCATAACACAAGCGCGTCCTTCGCCAGGACCTTCGTAAACATTTTTTCGGAGTCTGTTTTATTCTGTCTCTGGACGTTCGTTCACCTTTCTGGACGACCTTTACGATTCGATATATCGATGTGATCCACATCCGGCTGAGAAACCAGACGGACCCGAAAGGAAAAAGACGAGCAAGGTCGGGATAGCTAGGGAAAGTAATATCGTGACGCAAGGTTGATGATGATATTCTGTAATGGCTTCTAGATTGTTACTGCAACGATATAGGTCGCCGTAATAAACCCTAGTTTACATGTTATAGGTCACGTATGGTCACTGAAGCAACCATAAGCGAAATAAGCACTCGGTGAAAGGTGGACTTCAGCAATTTTCTGACCTTTACAATTTTTTTAGAAATTTTGTTTTATGGTTTGTCGGAAGTTTGAACTCGGCTGGAAATAAGATTCGTTTGATCGAAAATATTGGCAGTTTTAAATATTGTGATTGGATACTATAAACTTTGAGTTTAAAAAGAAATTGAAGAAAGACATTTGAAATTCACAAAATAAACTTTAACTTCCAAATTTAAGCGGGTTATTGCAAACTTGGAAACTTGATAATTAGAAAAATCGGTAAATTTGATAACTCGAAAGTGTGATAACTCGTAAACTTGAATACTTGAAATTCTACATTTCAAAATTACTAAATAAAAATTTGGTACCTATCTGTTCTATATGTATCTTGCATATTGATAATCGAATGCCTTTAGTGAAACTTCGGTACTCAATTTGATTTGATTACCTAAGCAATAAATTCTAACTTGTACATTCAATTCTGGCTAACATGAAACTTCGTGAGAGAATATTTGGTTACGTACCAGACGTGGCGTCAAGTTGCCAATTTGTATTCGTACCGAGTTAGCAGGAAGTGCAACGTGCCGGTCCTGATTCTAACGGTATGAACGACAAATATGTACGATATAAAATCATGTACGGTATTTTGTATCGTGACAATGCTACGAATTTACGGAATACCGTGATACGTTCAAAGATCTTGTCGTCATTCAGGGAATCAAGGATCTTTGCATCCGAACAAGTGTGGAAGAAGTAACGATAAGTATATGACATTTATCACGTCCGATTGAACGTGATTCATAAAATCATTTTTGGAAATATGACATAACATCTATCGTATAATACACATCGCGTATCATGTGTGTACGAATTCTATAATTATAAAAAGTTGTAGAGTAAAATAGGAAGAGTGACATTATAACATTTCGGTATATAACATATGAGAATTTAATGTGTTCACGTTTAACATGTAATATTGTAATCAAATGTGATGATATAATGTGTGGCAATATAACACGTGGTTATTAGGCGAGTAGTAATATAATAAGTGGTAGTTGAACGCATGGCAATATAACGCGTGGTAACTTAACACGTGGCGATATAATGTTTGATAACTCAATATATGGCGATATAATGCGAGAGTTTATAATACGTAGTAATTTAACGCGTGGCGATATAATGCGTGGTAATTCAACACGCGGTGACCCAATATAGGGCGATATAAGGCGAGCTTATACTATCAGTAGTAATTCATGGTGTTATAACGCGAGATTAAATAATGCGTAGAAATTTGACGCGTGGCGATATAACGCGAGGTTATACTATCAGTAGTAATTCAACGCGTGGTGATATAATGCGAGATTAAGTAATACGTAGAAATTCAACGCGTGGCAATATCACTCGTGGTTTTACTATCAGTAGTAATTCAACGCGTGGTGATATAACGCGAGATTAAACAATGCATAGAAATTCAACGCGTGGTAACTTAACACGTCCCGAAATAATGTTTGGTAACTCAGTATATGGCGATATAACGCGAGAGTTTATAATGCATGGTAACTCAGCGCGTGGCGATAAAACGCGTGGTAATTCAACGCGCGATAAGCCAATGCGTGATGATATAACGCGACGTTATACCATCAATAGTAATTTAACGCGTGGTGATATAACGCGAGATTAAATAATGCGTAGAAATTCAACGCGTGGCAATATAACGCGTGGTAAATTAGCACGTGACGATATATTGTTTGGCAACTCAGTATATAGCGATATAACGCGAGGGTTTACAATGCATGGTAACTCAACGCGTGGCGATAAAACGCGTGGTAATTCAACGCGCGATAAGCCAATGCGTGATGATATAACGCGACGTTATACCATCAATAGTAATTTAACGCGTGGTGATATAACGCGAGATTAAACAATGCATAGAAATTCAACGCGTGGTAACTTAACACGTCCCGAAATAATGTTTGGTAACTCAGTATATACATGTGACGATATAATGTTTGGTAACTCAGTATATGGCGATATAACGCGAGAGTTTACAATGCATAGTAACTCAACGCGT